ATATATATATATATATATATATATATATATATATATATTTAAGAAAAGAACGAGGGGCCCTGGGGACAAGGATGCAGGTAGAGTACTGATCTAGTATGTATGAAACCTGGATTTACTCCCCACCACTGTGTAGACCTGAGTGGTGGCACCTGTCTGTGAGCCAGCCAGAGGCAGGAGGATCAGAAGTTCAAGGTGATCCTTGGCTACTTAAGAATTCAAGGCCAGCCTAGGCTACCTGAGACCCTGCTTCCAAAAGCAATTTTCTCTTATATGGTTGGCATATGAGTTGTTAACTCATATTGTTTTGTTGGCTAGGTGTGGACTCATACATTTGAGCTTTCTCCTAGTCTGTTTGTTCACAGAGGGCTTGGAAGTTCTTGTATACTTCACATTCCCAGAACATCACAGTTCAGACTAACAATATTTCAAGCAGTCAGTGGCCCTTTGTGGCCAAAGGTACCACGACATATGGTTTTGACTATTGACTTCTAAAACTTGATGCGGGGACACCTTTCTCTGTCATTTAAACCTTTTTTTTTTTTTTTTTTTGAGGTAATGGCTTATGTGTCCCAGGATGGCCTCAAAGTCTCTGAAGATGATCTTGAACTTCTGACCCTTCAACTGAGTGCTGGAATTCTCACCATGCATCACTGTGACAGGTTTTATGGAGTTCTGAAGGTTGAATGCTGTGCTGTGCATGCTGGGCAAGTACCCTACCAACTGTGCCATGTGCCTGTCCCTTATGCTTATTTCGGCTTTCTTTTTTATTACATCTTATTACTTATTGTGTGTGTATACATACTCAAGTGCATATATGTGTGTGCGCACTCATGGCACATGTACATGTGGCAGTCAGAGGGTAAGTTGCTTGAGTCGGTTTTCTCCTTCCTCCTCCTAGGACAATGTGAGTTCCAGGGACAAAATGTAAAGGTAGGGAGCACCTTTAACTGCTGAGCCATCTTGCCTGCCCTTACTTGGGTTTCTGTTCCTTGCAACTGGAAGTGATTGTAACTGGACAGGGGTTAGAGGTGCACAGCCAAGAGGAGTCTGGCAAAACTTGCTCTGCTTCCATTCCCACGTGCACCTTTAACCACAGATGTAAGACAGCTCCGAGAGGCTTCATCTTTGCTTAAGTGATGACCTCAAGTCCAGAGAGCCTGGCAGGTGCCAACATGCCCAGTTGGTGTGTGTCGTCCAGGAGAGGGCACTTGCTGCCTGCTGCCATATGGTCTCCGGAGCCCCCAGGGGGTCCACTGAGAGGCCTTATAGTTTGATTGGAGCCCCCACTACCACTTCTTTTCCACCCCCTACAGCTGCCGGTTCCTGATAGTTTTATGGAATTATCTTGATAGTTCCATAAAAGTGCTCACACATTCCTCTTTCAGCCAAACCCCCGCTCCTCCCCAGGTCACCATGAACTCCCGTTTAACCCATTCAGATCATATTCTCAGAGTGCAGGCTTCAGAGTTTAGTGATCTCCAGGAAAAACTGGGAGTCCCTTCTGGAACTGATGAAATGGGTGGCTCTTGGGGACCCTGCAGAAATGGGGGGGGGGTTATTGTTGTTCTTGAAGAATGCTAGGGTTTGTCCTTGGGGCAGATACACATGGTGATCAAGCTTTTTTCAGTACCAGGTGAAGAAAAGGACTCAGGGCATGAGAACAGGAGCTGTGCTCATCAAATATCAGGGACCTGAGTGCACACTAGACCCAAGTCCCGGCTGTTCACTCAGGTGGGAGAATGTGTTAAGATGCTCTCGGCCACTGGGCTGCTGAGGTGGCTCAGTAGACAAGGGTGCCTAACTCCAATCCTGACAAACTGTGACATGGGGGGGGGCATGAGGCCCTGCAAGTTGTCTTCTGAAAGCCATGCCCCCCTCCTGCAAATAATTTTTTAAAGTCAATATTCCCATTAATGCAAATCACATACATTTGAAAAATAAAGACAAGGAAGGATGGTTCATATGCATATCTATCGTCTCTATACTAGACTAACTGTGTCCCAGAAGACTGAAAAGTCAAAAGCTCAGAAACTAACCATTATCCTCCCAGCAGGAATCAGAAGGTCACCTGCCCCCACGCACTTGGATAATAGAATCTTCATTCCTTCTCCCCTCAGGCTATGGGGAAGGTAAGCCTTATTTTTCCTGATTTTAGGTTCTTAGGGCTAGGATCCTGGTTCCCAACTGGTATTCGGCAAGACACCCAGCTTGCCATTTGGAGGGTGTTCCCACTGATCTTTGTGTTTGCTGGAGCACTGAGGGGCTAGCATGCCTGAAGGCAGATGAGCATCCCTCTCCAAAGGAACCTTTGCTGTTATTTTAAAGCTGGGACAGGGAGATGCTTTGTGGTACATGGTACCCTATGGATCTGGCTGGGTCTGGTCCAAGCATTACTTCCATCATATGTCTTTCTTCTCCTCCTTCTCCTCCCCCTCCTTCTTGTGTAGCCCTGGCTTGTCCTTGCTTTGTAGACCAGGATGGCCTCAAACTCACATCATCTGCCTGCCTCTGCCTCTTGAGTGCTGGGGTTAAAGGTGTGTGCCGCTACATAAGCCCTCCCTGATAAATCTTAAGGAGGCTAGTGGGAAGGGAAGGGGTGAGAACCAATAGAGAAGTTTGGTACAAACAACTTGGGGTAAACTAACTCCACAGGGGTCATACCTGACAGCTCAGCAGTGAAGTCCTAGCCCTTGCCATCTATTTGTCTTTATGGATTCGCTTTCTCCAAGCTTTAGCGCTCAATAGTGTCCTTGGCTAGAGGCAAGGACTTCCTTCCTTCATTGCTGCCACAGTCCACTGCAGCTAGTTAGCCTAACTGCCACCCACCCACACCCTGGAGAGCTCTAAAGCCCCTCCCCACATCGTTCCCCTAATAGTTTTTACTTCCTTAATGACAGTGGCCTCTGTTTGCTGCTCACCCACTGGCCTTGCAATAATGGCAGGAGCCTCTGGAAGGGCTGGCCCACTGCCATTATCCTAGGTTGCTCTCCTCTTGAACACATGCACCCGTCATGGTCCCTCATGGAGACCTTGGTGGTCAGGATGTTCATTATAGAATTCTTTAGTATCAATATCTGGGAGCGAGCTGAGAAGGGTAGAAGTAATCACTTCCTCCAGTTTCTCCATTGCACCTCTGGGTCTAAAATGGCCTCTGCATTGTCACACATCCAAAGAGTTGGGTGTGATAGCCACAGGAATGTTGACCAACCCTCCCCTCGGAGACATGTGACCTCTGGGAGCATCCAGAGCAGCAGAGGTGGTTCCTGGAGAGGGACACAATGGTTCTTCACAGAGAAGCCACCTGCAGCTGGAGAGATAGCCCGGTCAGTTCAGCAAGGAGGACTTGCATATCTATGCTTGCAGGCCCAGGGAGTGAAGGTCTCAGGGCTTCACTTATTCAGTTGCTTCCCATAAGCAGAATGTATGCCTTACTGAGGTACTGGGCATCACCTGTGGGTCCAGCTCCAGGAACTGTATCCCTCCCTACCTGTCTATGGCCTACTGTTCAAACTCAGCCAGCCAGACCTTTACAAAAGCAAATTGTAAACAACACTCAAAATGTCAAAGGGGCAGAAAGATGGCACATCCGTACAGGTGCTTGCAAATTTGACACCCAGCCCCCCCCACCCATGGTAGAAGGAAAGAAATGACTCCTGCAAGTTGTCCTCTGAACACACATCAGGGTACAATACCCACGAGAGAGAGAGAGAGAAAGAGAGAGAGAGAGGAAACTTAAAAACAATCCTAACGGAAAGAAGTGGGGGAAGACAATGGAAAGAGACCCTGTCGTCCTGGACACTTCTCCATCCTATCTCCTAAGCTCTCCTGTAGGTCACACAAGCCCAGCTTGTCAAAGCAGGGCTGTCACAAGCCTTGTAGTCTCTGCCTGAAACTACTTTCTTTTCAGATGCCTCCTAGGCACATCTCTACTCAGACTAAGGCTCTGAGTAAGAGGCCGAGGTGTCTCTTTAAGTTTATTTTAAGCCGCACACTGGTGGTGCACGCCTTTAATCCCAGCACTTGGAGTTCAAGGCCAGCCTGGTCCAGCTCGAGCTCCAGGACAGCCAAGACTACACAGAGAAACCCTGCCTCGAAGGACAAAAACAACAACAAAATAAATAAATAAACAAACAAACAAACAAATAAATAAATAAGATAGAGGAAAAGAAAAAGGGAAAAGGGTTTTATTTTAGAGAAAGGTCTTCTGCTTATGTAATTTACTCGGTAGCAGAGATGACCTTGAACTTCCGATCTTCCAGCCTCTATCAGTTTCTGGGATTACAGGCCTGTTCTACCACCTCTGAGGTTAGAGCCTAGAACTTCTTTTATGCTAGATGAGCGTTGAACGACATACACCCCTAACCTAACCATGGAGTTAAAGGCAAGTAAAAGCAACAGAGAAAAAAAGGTCATAACATTAGTATTCAGAGCAAGGTGAAACAAGAACCACGTTAAGGGGACCCTTAGGTACTCCTGGCCACTGACAATCGCCCTGTGGCTTTGAGGATCTGCTCTGGGCTCAGCGTAGAAGCTGAGAGGCGAGTAGGCCTCAGCGAGGGTGGCTGTGTCCCCAGGGTCAGTGGCCTGGAGCTAGCTCCCGGAAAGGCACAGGCGCAACCAGGTGCGGCCCAGCACCGCCCTCCCGCCGCGCTAGCCGTGGGGGCGGGCCTGTAGTAACCACGCCCCCGAGCGCCACGCCCTCCTGACGGCCCATAAAAGGCGCCGGCTGCATCCTGCTCGGGTTCGAGTGCTGCTTTGGGGTGGACAGCCATCGTCCAGCGTCGCCACGTCCAGCTTGGTGCCACGCCCCGGCCGGTGCTGCGGGAGCCCCAGCCATGCTGTTCTGGCACACGCAGCCCGAACACTACAACCAGCACAACTCTGGCAGCTACCTGCGGTAAGACCGGGCAGCACCTGCCTGAGGTCGGGGTCCGGGCGCTGACCGACCAGTGCGGCCTCAGGGACGGACCTTTCGGGAGCCCCCTGGGGAGCTGAACGGGGGAGGGGGGTGCGCTGACGCCCTCGGGGCGCCTCTCCAGGCTCTCCTGCCGCGCGCTGAGTTCCTGGCCGTGTCTCGCAACCTTCCTTCTTCCGTCTCCAATCCAGTTGAAGAAATAAACTTGCTCCATCCATCAGGAGCCCTGTGTCCCGGGTAGCCAAGCCCGGTTCTTTGCTCCTCTCAGCACGCGGGCCCACAGGTGGATGGCGGGAGCCGGTCTGCGCTGCAGCCCAGAGGGTTCAGGCTCCTGGGGGCTGGCCGTCCCTGCCCGGTGACCTTAGTGTGGGCCCCCGGCCCCGGATTCACTGAAATCTCTTCTGCGGGGATTTCTTTAGCGTGCTTCAAGGGATGAGGGTCCCGCGGGTTTTGCAAAGTTCTGTGAACTCCTTCTTTTAGGAAGTAGAACCCCCCCTCCTCCCCACTTTGCTTCGGTGACTACGAGATTCTTTTTTTCCACCGTGGTGCAGCTCGCTGGAGGGATAATAAATAGGCAGGCATTTCATTTTCTGAACTCGCCAGAACCAGCTTCAACCTGTCTTTATTTCCATCCTAGTCACAGTTTATTATATGTGCCTTACTAAACCCAACGGGTGTTTGACGTAGGCTCAGGAAAAAGCGAACTGGCAGGCAGAAGGCATCTCGGGCTGTCAACCCTAACTACAGAACCTTAAGGGCTTCTTTGTACCCCCGAATCTCCCCTCTCGGATTTTTTTTTTTTTTTTAATTATTTGTACTTCCTGACTTCTGATACATGTATATCCAGAAGTCCTCTGGGAAGGCATTCCCCTTCTTAGAAAGCCGAGGATTGACCTGGTTTCTCTGGTGTATCTTCAGGTTTTCTTTTGTTTTTTTAAACTCCGAGTCATAGAAAATGGCAATGGATCTAGGGTCTTGGGCGTGCAGACCCCTGTGGTGCTGAGGTATAAGCAGAGCCCAGGATTAAAGTGCTCCACGGTAAATACATGCTAACCGCGAAGCACTCTATAGGGTTACTTGTAGTTTCTTTTGGATTGTAGTGAGTGGCCCTTAGGCATCTCATCCTAGCTTAAAAATGATTTTGAAGGTGACCTTGAGCTGAAGTGAGCGTATTTGAAACCTAGATGCATAAAACGTCATCCTGTTTGGGGACAGATTGTTAGAGGAAAGGCGTGGCTTTTGCATATGTCCCTGAGAGAGAAGTTTGTGAGCTAACCCAGGTACTTTGAGGATTTTGACTTTATATGAAAGGCAGAAAGCAAACATTGGGGCTGAGAGCTGCTACAAAGCTGCAGGTTTATTGGGTTGCTTTGCCAAAGCAATGGATGAAGACTGTCCATACTCCCCCCCCCCCCCTTGGAAGCTGGTCTATTGTTTTTCTTTGCTTGTTTGTTTTTCAAGACACGGTTTCTCTGTGTAGCCTTGGGCTGTCCTGGGCTTACTCTGTAGAGCAGGCTGGCCTCAAACTCACAGAGATCTGTTTGCCTCTGCATCCCCGAGTGCTGGGATTACAGTCAGTGGTGGGCCTACGAGCGGCCTTCCCCAACAGGCTTGGCTTTGTTTTTTACCTTTAAGTGATTTGACCTCCTTAAGGCCTGTATCCTCTGCTAGAATGAGAATATTTTTCTTTGCTTCGCTTTTTTTCTTTTTAAAGTCAATTTTATGTATTTTTTGCAATGCTAGGATGAACCCTGGACCTTACACTTACTCCTCCATTTTGGCAACTTTTGGCCCTCCTTTTTATTATTATTTTTGTTCTGCTAGAAGTTCTGCAAGCCATCTGATTTCATCAAGAAGCGAGTGGCCTTTAGTCCCTCCCTCTCCTTTCTGTTTGATGTTCTGGTGACTTTTATTCCTTGGCAAATAAGGACACCAGGCCAGAAACAAGTTACTGTTGAATGATGTTTCTTAACACCCCTCCCCTTTTCTTTTAATTTGAAAGTAACAGTGCATGGATTATTCACTTACATGGTCGGGGCAAGCATGAAAGTATGCAATCCCCAGGTGAGCTGGAGGGCTGGCTTCTTTCCGTGCTCCTTAATAATTGCCCAGGCTGGGAGAGGGGAAAGGAAGGCTTGCTTCCGGTGAAGGCAAACCTGGCCGGTACTGCACTCTCGCTCTCTACTTTGGGCAGCAGACAGGAAGCGCAGAAAAGCACACATAGGGAAGGCTTCCCAGGTGTGCCCAAAGGCAGGCTTTCTGAGAATTTGTTAGATACTGGTGGGTGTGTGCTGGATTGTGTTTCATGGACAGTCTTTTATGGTGCTGTCAGGGAACATGTCGTACTGTCATAGTGACTGTGCAATGAAGTGGGGTCAGCTGATCTGATTCACGGCCCAGACCCATGATGGGAGGAGGGTCATCAAGATAGGGCCGGGCATCTTTTGGTAGTTCTTTCTGTGGCAACATAGTTCAGAATCTTGAAGCAAGTCTCACCTGCCTGAGGGTCATTCTGATCCTCAGGGATTTTATTGTTCCTTGCAAGGACACCTATCTGAAGTCCCAGCAACTCTGCAGGCTGAGGTGGGACTGTTTCTTGAGTCTGGGTGTTCAAGGTTAGCCCGAGCAACATACTGATCCCTTCCTGAAAAAGTCTAGAAACAAGTTCCTCTGTCACAGGGTGATTAGAGGCTAGTGTATGTGATGGTGTGTGAGTATGGATGTGCATGTGTGTAGGGGCCAGAGCACAACCTTCAGTATTGTTGGGGCGGGCTGTTTATTTGTCCTTTCGTTTGTTTGTTTTTGAGACAGTGTCTCATGTAGCCCTGGCTGTCTTGGAACTCATTCAGTAGATCAGGCTGGCCTCGATCTCATAGAGATCCACCTGCTTCTGTCTCCCAAGTGCTGGGATTGAAGACAAGCACTACTATGGCTGACTATTCTTCATTAATGTTCCTCAGGTACATGCGCTTTGTTTTTTGAGACTAGGTCTCCTACTGATCTGGAAGTTGACCAGTAGACTAAGCTGGCTGGCCAGTGAGCCTCAGGGCTCATCCTGTTGCATCTCCCCAGCACTGGGGATGACCATTGTGGGCTGCTACACCTAGCTTTTGAAGGCTTTGGGCTCTGGGACTGAATTTTTTAGGTCCTTAGGCTTAAAGTGCTTCACCAACTGAGCTGTCTCCACAGCACTTTGTGGAGGTTTTTGGAATAGGGAGCATTATTTAGAGGTAAAGGAAACAGTTTTCTGAGTATTTTAAGATTTGCTACTTGAGTAAGAAAACTGAAATCAAGGTTTTCCTATCTACCTAGTATTTTTAAGAAACCATTATGAGCTTTTAAAGTGGGAGCGATGGGCCAGCAATGCGGCTCAGTAGATAAAGGTGCAAGCCTAATGACCCGAATTCAGTCCCAGGAATCCACGTGGTAGCAGGAGAGAACTAGCTCCCAGAAGCTGTCCTCTAATGTTGGTGTGCGTGCACATGCAGTATGTGCGCTTGTTCACAAGCTCATGTGCTTGGACACACATACAGATACACAATTAACCAACCAACCAACTAGCTGTCAAAAGTTACAAGAACAAGACAGGTTAGTTGTCTCCTTTTTGAAAGAGAGGAAGATATATGTCCCTCTGGGTGAGGAAGCCAACGGCTCTTCAATTATGTAGTTTACAGTTATGGAACTGTAAACTACCACCAAGTCTTGGTACATAGGAGAGTTGATTAAAGAATAAAAATTGAAGCAAGGCATGATGGCTCACATCTTTAATCCCAGCACCTGTGAGGCAGAGGCAAGCAGATCTCTGTGAGTTCCAAGCCAGCCTGGTCTACAAAGCGAGTTCTAGGACAGCCAGGGCTACACACAGAGAAACCCTGTCTTGAAAAAAAAAACCAAACAGAATCAAAATTGATGAGGCTGGTGAGGTGCTTTGTGGATAAAGTTGCCACGTTTTGACGACCTGAGACCCACATGATAGGAAAGAACTGAAATTTGCAAGTTGTCCCGTGACTTCCACATGTGCCTTGATATGTACATACCCACACCCACCTACTAAATAAAAAGGGGGAGGGGCTGGAGAAATGGCTCAGTGGTTAAGAGCACTGTCTGCTCTTCCAAGGGAGTGGGTTCAACTCCCAGCACCCACATGGCAGCTCACAACTGTCCGTAAGCAGTTCCAGGTGGCAGGTGGTCTGACACCCTCACATCAATGCACATAAAATAATAATAAAAAAAAGAAACAAAAATCGTTCAGATGATTTTTCTGGAAGATGTTTTGCACTTACAGACGGAAAGCTGCTGCCCAAGGCTGGGCTGTAGCTCAGTGGTAAAGCTCCTGTCACATGCACGCAGTTCCAGGTTCAGTCTCTGAGCATTGTTCCCCTCCCCCAGAATAAAAGGAGAAAAAAAAAAAAAAGAAATAGCTGCTAAGGTCACTTGCTGCTGGTTTCAGTCATTTAGGTTTCACAAAGTAGGAGACAACTCTGAGCTTCTCCTTCTCTGGATCTTGGGTGAACAGATCTCAGGAGGGCCATTGGATGAAGTAGGATCACGCAGTAATGGTTGTATCTGGGATTTGGGCCGTGTGTGAGGAGCTGGGTCAGCATGTCACACTGGACTCTGAAGTCACCTTTGCCGTCCTGTCCCGCATCTGTCTCCCCAACATTGTTCCATGCTTCTGGGCATTGCTTCTGACCTCTAGCTTCCCATGTTTTGCAGTGATGTGCTGGCTCTGCCCATCTTCAAGCAGGAGGAGCCACAGCTGTCGCCTGAGAATGGGGCCCGCTTGCCGCCTCTACAGTATGTGCTGTGCGCTGCCACCTCTCCAGCTGTGAAGCTACACGAAGAGACCTTGACGTACCTCAATCAAGGTAGAGGCCTCCACAGGCTTGTGATATGGGCGCAGGGAACAGCTGGAAGAGTTCGCAAATGGTGTGCAAGATCCTGTTGGGCCTCTGTAGCTGTGACATGGGACTCTGGAAAGAGTACGGGCTTGTCTTAGAGGTCAGGCACAGGTTTGGATTCTGTTGCTTAGCTGTGTGGCTTCCCAGGACCTCCGCGCCTTCACTGGGTGAATGGAAATAATTGAAAACTGAGCTGGGAGTAGTCATGTGAGCCTGTAGTCCTACTCTGTGGCCTGAGGCAGTCTGAACAACAGAATGAGACTCTTTGAAAAGGAGGGAGAGGAGAAGGGAGGGGAGGCCAAGTGTGGGGCCAGTACGTTCCTCATGTAGCCTCCAGAAATCAATGATTGGTGGTTGCCATTATGTTTGGAGCTTTCAGTATCTCTTGGTACCTGCTCTGCTGTCTTTCATGGAGTAACAGCTGATCTGGCTTCCCACCCGCTGGAGGGAGATTTCCCTTCGTGGTTTTAGCACCGTTTCTTATTCTCAGAGCTTTAGAGATTCTGTGTAAAAGGAGAAAGTCTAATTTGGGGGGGGGGGGTTTAAAAGGGTGACGGTAAGTAACCTGCCTGGCATGATATTCTTTGAGTTGGGGTTTTGCTATGTAGCCCAGGCTTGTCTGGAACTCAAGATCCTCCTGCCTTAGCCTCCTAAGTACTAGGACTATAGGCTTGTACTCTGTCTAGCATCCAATACTTCTTTTTAAATTTTTTTATTATGTGTATGTATATATGTATGTATATATGTTATGTGTGTGATTACATTATGTATAAGTATGTGTGTGATTATGTTCTGTATAAGTGTGATTACAGTATGTATAAGTGTGTATGATTACATTATGTATAAGTGAATGTATGTGTGATTATGTTATGTATAAGTGTCCGTATGTGTGATTGCATTATGTGTGTTTGTGTAATTACAATTAGGTATAAGTATGTATGATTACATTGTGTATAAGTGAATGTATGTGTGATTACATTATATGTATATGTCTGTGATTACCTGTGTGTGTGTGTGTGTGTGTGTGTGTGTGTGTGTGTGTGTATACACTTGAAGTCAGGAGCTTGTTCTCTTTTATCATGTGGAACTCAGGTCATTGACTTGGCGGCAGGTGCCTTTGCCCAGTCAGTTGTCTCAGCACCCATGTTCCCCTTGTTGAGTGTTTCTGTACCCTGGTGGGTAGTTTCGCTGGTGTCTGTAGCGACGATGGGGCTGTATTAGCACTGTCTCCTGGATTACTTGTGGTTGCCATCATCCTGTGTACTGGTTGCTCTTCTGTGAGTTGGAATCTGGGAGGGACAGCCCAGCCCTAGGAAAAAAGCTGCCTCCGTTCTGCAGAATTGCATCCTGGATTTGACCTTGTCCAGGTCCCTAGCTCATGATGAATGGAAGTGCCTGGGCTACCTCTGCATGGACTCTGCTCCTGTAATTGCTGGTCTGTCCCTCAAGAAGGTAATGCTTGCCCTGTGGGCTGCGCACTTACTTCTCATTCTGTGGTGGCTGATGGCCATTGATGGCAGGTGACAAGCCAGTTGGAAGCAGTCCCTTATGTGTTTGCACACTAGCTTCTGTCATTGTCCTTTCTTCTTGAAAGTTAAATGCTGCCAACTTTCCCTTTGAGCAGTTTTTCTCCTCATCAGTCCCACCCCCCACCTTCTTGGCTTAAACTTGAGAGTGAAGGAATGAGGCCACTGAGCTTGTGGGTGTTGTTTGGAGCCATGTTCCATGTGAGCTGATGAGTGAGCAGCGTGAGGTCTTGCTGCTGAACAGAGACATTGTGTGTCTGTCCCGCCCCATTTTAAGGCCTTTCTTTAGTTGTATTTACCATGCCTCTCTGCTGTTGTTTGGCTAATGTTAGGAAGTGTTCAGTAGCATACTAGAACTTATCTACAAGTTTGAAAGAGAACATCCTCTTCCCCATCATAGCTGTTAAAAGAGAGAGGAAGGGACCTGCTCTGTGATCCCATCCACCTGCTTGTGTTGACTTGTTATACAGCCTTTGGGTGTTTACAGAGTTATTATGTTACTGTGGAAGTTGAACTTAGGGCCCCTGCAAGATAGGCTAGTACTCTAGCACAGAGCCACACGCCCTCCATTCCTAGATACTTTGGTTAATGCTTTCTTGTTCTTGATGCTTTGAAACAGGACAGCTGTCTCCAGGGTTCTGGGAACCCCCTGCATCTCAGATTGGCCTCTGTCTAATCTCAGTCTTTCAAATGCACGGTTTTGACTGACTCGTAATGTAATAGATGTTCATTACAGCAAATGTAGATTGTTTTGACATTGCTTAGAAGGGCTGGGACATAGCTCATTTGCCAGAGGACAGGCTTAGTATGCAGGAGATCCTGGGATTGAACCCAGATACCTCATGAGCCAAGTGTGGTGGGACATACTTGTAACCCCAGCTCTCTGAGAGGTAGAAGGATCAGATGTTCAAGGTCATCCTCAGCTACTTAGGGAGTGAGGATAGCCTGGGGTGTTTGAGACCCTGCCTTAAGAAAGAAAAGAAAGAGAGGAAGGACGGCAAACAAACGGGCTCTCAAGCTGGCTGGTGGCGCCACACACCTTTAATCCCAGCCCTCAGGAGGCAGAGAGGTGGATCTCTTTGAGTTCCAGGCTAGCCTGGTCTACAGAGTGAGTTCCAGGACAGCCAGGGGTACACAGAGAAACCCTGTTTGAAACATGAAAACAAACAAACAAACAAACAAACAGATAAAAAAGTAACTTTGGTCATTCTGTGCTTTCCTCTCTGTAGTAACTATTATGTGACCATAGCCATACACTATGGTAAATATGTTCATTGTTGCTAAAATAACCAACTGAAACTCAAGAAAGTAACTGAAAAACAGAAGAGCAAAAGTCAGAAAGTTCAAAGAAAAGTCCAATTTAAATTCCCTTTAATATCACCTTTGTGTGTGTGTGTGTAACTGTGTTTAGTGTGTAGGGGCACTCTTGCTATAACACATGTGGAGGTCAGAGGACAACTTTCAGAAGTCAGTTTTTTCTTTCTTCCACATGCGTCCTGGGAATGACGCATTAGGCTTGGTGCCTTTACTGGTAGGCTGAGCCAACTTGCTAGCCTGGCCACTAATCTTTTATGTATTTTTTATCCATGTATTTTTTTTATTTAATCTTTTAAAATTGGGAGAATGTATTATTAAACATTTACAAACATCCTTGTATGGACAGCTTGTTTTTTTTTTTTTTTTTTTTTTTTAGTTATAAACCTGAAATGTAAAAATGTTGTACATTATTTTCTTGGCAGCCTGTCTAATATGCCAGCTAGCTCTGTGTATCTCACTGTCTTTCTCAAAGTTAGGTGTTACCAGATTTCACATGAATCGTAAAACATTGGGTTTGATATATATATATATATATTTTTTAATAAAAATCTTTCTGTAGTGTTTTAGTCATTGTTCTACTGCTGTGAAGAAACACCACAACCAAAGTAACTCTAATAAAAGAATGCGTTTAGTTAGGGGCTGGCTTATAGTTTCAGAGGCTTAGTCTGTTATCATCCTGGCAGAGAGCATGGCAGTAGGCGTGAGGCTGAAGAAGTAGTTGAGAGCTACATCCTGATCTGCAGGCAGAGAGGTGGGGGAAGAGAGGGAGAGGGAGAGATTGGGCTTGGCATGGGGCTTTTGAAACATCGAAGCCCACCCCCAGTGACACACTTTCTCCAACAGGCCATGCCTCCTAAGCCTTCTAATCCTTTCAAATAGTGCCCTCCCTGGTGACTAAGCATTCCAATATATGAGCCTATGTGTGTCATTCTTATTCAAACCACCCCATGTACATACACATACGCGTGTATGTCAGATGATGACACTGGATGTTTGACTTCAACTTCTACTATGTTTGAGACAGGGTCTCAGTGTTTGCTGTAAAGCTTCTGGAATTCTCCTGTCTCCATTTTCCATCTCACTATAGGAGAATTGGAGTTATAGATGCTACTGCTATTCATCTTTATGTGTGTTCTGGGGCCTCATGCTTTCCTGAAAAATACATTATTACCCATTAAGCCTTCTCTCCAACCCTGAAATTTGCTTTCTAAAAGGATTTTTTAAAAATTATTTTTAAGTGTATATGGTGTGTGGAGTCAGGTTGCAAGAGCGGGTGCAGTACCCATGGAGGTCAAAGCATCAGGAGGTGGTGTCATAGGTGGTTGTGAGCTGCCTGATGGAGGTGCTGGGTACTGAATGTGGGTCCTCTGCAGGAGCAGTAAGTGCTCTTACCTCTGCCTCTATGTCTTCAGCCCTCAAAATTTTATTTTAAACTAGCATTCTTTTCTGTCTTGTTTTTTTCAAGGTGTGGTCCCAGGCTTTGTGGAGCCTAGTCTGGCCTCAAACTTGTGATCCTCCTGTCTCAGCCTTCCAGAGTACTGGGATTATAGATGAGTACCAGCTTAGTTAAATATTCTGCGCTCTCTAATGACCAGCGTGATGAAGCACCTAAAATGTCTGTTGGTCTGTTAGAATGTCCGTTGTACGTTTCTCTTTGAGGAATTTGTCCCAGCCATTGGAAGAGACATCACTTATGAACCATTTAACGGCCAAATGTTGCAATATTTTTCTCTCATCAGCTACTTAGCTCTCCTTTTGTGATAATTATGTTTACCGTGTAGAGCATGTAAGATACAAGGGTCTTGAGCATGCTAAGCAAGTGTGCTACCGCTTGACCTACGCTCCCAGGCCAGTGGTTACATTTTGTTATCACATTTACTTATTTGTTTGTATGAATGTGTGCAAACCGTGCACCCAGGTGGAGGTCAGAGAACTTGTGGGAATTGTTTCCTTCCGCCCTATGGGCCCACGGAGTCAGCTCAGGTTGTCAGGCTTAGTGACTGGTGCCCTTATGTGCTTAGCCATCTTGCCTGCCCATGGCTTTTTTTTTTTTTTTGAATCTTGCATTGTAAGCATTATGTTGGGTGTCTTATGGTATGTGAGCAATAATTACTCAGAAAATTT